CAGAGACAGGACAGACAGTAGAGACAGACAGACCGGATAAACAGACAGACAACAGACAGAGACAGACACAAGTCAGACAGGCAGACAGACAAACCAACAGAGCTACAACAGACAAAGAGATAGACGATAACACAAAAGCTTCTCGGGTCTCTGACAGTAGTTAAACTGCCGCCAGGCCCCCTCATAGTTTAACCTCAAAAGGCTCTTCTACGTGAACTGCCTGTACAGAAGTGTATTGAGAGTCGACACATCTTGGTTACGTAACAATAAAGAAACAGAAAAAAGGAAAGAAAGATTAATAAAGGAAGAAATAATAACTAATAATAAAAGTGTATTGAGAATTCGACCATTTTGGTTACGTAGCACAATAAAGAAAGAGAAATGAAAGAAAATGATACAGGAGAAATAAGAATGAAATGAATAGAAAAAGCGAGAAAAGCTTTCACAATTTTTTTTTTATTATTATTGTATTTACGTAGCACAATAAAGACATAGAAAATGAAAGAAAATTATAAAGGAGAAATAATGAATGAAATGAGCGTGAAAATAAACGAGGAAAGATTTCACAATTTTTCGGAACTAAGAAAAATTCTGCCATTGTTTTGAAATGTATTGAGACTTGACACTATTGTTATTATGAATACAGGAAAGAACAGAGAAATAAAGAATAAAAACGTAAGATAAAGGAAGAAATAACGAATAAAATTAATTAGAAAATAAACGAGTTTTCATAATTTTTCGCACTAAGAGAAATTCATATTTATTAATAAAATAAGTCGAAGATCCAACATCCCTGAAGTGAGGAAATGGTGTTGATAAGATGTAAAGATAAAATTTCTATAAAAAGGAGTTGAATGACAAGTTGGCAGATAAAGGGAATAAATTCTTAAAAAGAGAGAGATAGAGATAGTGTGATATACTTAATCTGGGCTTATCAACAACAGGCAATAGCCGTTGTTGTACATCTGGCAGACTATCTGATGGAACTTAAAAAAAAAACGAAAAAAATCATACAGCTTAAAATATAGAAGATAATTATGAAAATGTATATATAAAATGGTTTGATAAGAAACACATGCGCTTATTCAGACACGCTGAAGAATTGATAAACTGATAGAGACAGATAGAGGCTGATAAAGAGAGAGGGAGGCAAAAGTTAGATAGATGTAAAATGCCGAAATCTATGAAAAGAGGTAGAGGCTTAAAAAAAAAGTTACATATGAGAAGAAAGAGAAAGTGAGGGTTAAATACTACATGTAAAAAGAGAGAGAGGCAGAGATAGAGATAGATAGATAGTAGAATAGATAGAAAGATAGAGAAGAGAGAGAGAGAGAGAGAGAGAGAGAGAGAGAGAGAGAGAGAGAGAGAGAGAGAGAGAGAGAGAGAGAGAGAGAGAGAGAGAGAGAGAGAGAGAGAGAGAGAGAGAGAGAGAGAGAGAGAAAATACCAGAAAGAGGAGTTGGAGGCCAAACCTGGAGGGAATACCACTTATACCATGCTAGTGCCCGGTATTGAGAATACGATCAGTTGGTAATACTTCTCTAGACTATACACAAGAACAGTTTTGGTTTTCCATTGAATTTTAGAGCACCATTATGGCAGCTGGGCATCCGGTTATAGTATAAGGAAAAAAGTCATTACAAAGAAGAAATGCAAAGAGAAATCGTGAAAAGCAGAGTATTAGAAAGGAAATCATTAGAACTGAAGAATTCAACCTTGAAATCAAGAAAAAGAGAAAAAAAAACAGTCGTCCTTTTTTAACCTCTCGGGCAGCAATGAATACTTCGCACATGTTCGTTAATAAAAAGATATATATAAAATCATGCATCTGAGACACATAAATTCTAAATTCACGTAATTAGGGATAAATATAAACATTTGAGGAGTCGAGACGCATCTCGCTCGTCTTCTGTCACCTGCGCGGTGTCGTCTGCGCAGTTGCCGAGTCTCGCAGACGGCAGTTATGAGTTGGACTTCAGTGAGCAAGGATGAGTGGTGTCTCTAGCGTTTCTGTGGCCTTGGTCTGTGCCACGAGAAATGTGAGACATGGTAAGTGAAACTGTTTATTGTTTGACTCTGAGTATATATATTCCCGGTGAAGGCAAAATGACGGGGGTTATGTATTCGTTCTCCCCTCAGGGTACGATTCGTAATCTGGGTCGGAAGAAGGAAATTTTTACGGGAGGGAAGATAGGCTTATAGTGATGTCAAGTTGTCCTTGTTATGAAATGTTCCTCGCGAGGGAAGTCACCCCACGAGGAGACGCCGTAGCATTGGGAATCAGTTCAAACCAGTGACAGAAACAGAGAGTAATTAAAGATAAACCAATTATGTAATGAAGCACATGGTCTCTCCACACATGTATTTTGTTTTTCTCATTGTTTTTTCCTCTCTCTATCCTCGTGATCGCACTTTCATAAACTTCGTACAATACTCTCGAAAACTGCTATGAAAATAGTGACGTAACTCCCACGCCAGCATTAACACAGGATATCTTAGAAATGACACGGAGTACTAAGAAAAAGCTTGACAGTGCAAAGGACAGGCAAACACCTAGAAGTTCCTCGGGACTTTGGGAGTTCTGACGCAAACGCGAGAGGGAGAGGGAGAGGGAGAGGGAAGAGGTGAGGGAGGAGGGGGGACAGGAAGAGGGAGGGAGAGGTGGTGGTTGGTGGTAGAAAAGGGAGAGGGAGGGACAGGAAGAGGTGAGGGAGAGGAAGGGAAAGGAGGGCAGGAAGAGGGAGAAGGTGAGGGTTGGTGGTAGAAAAGGGAGGGAGAGGGAGAGAGAAGGAGGGACAGGGAGAGGTTGAGGGTATTGGTGTGGAAATAGGGGGGGAGAGGGTGAGGGAGGGAGGCGAGGTGAGGGTTTGGTGGAAAAAGGGAGGGAGAGGGTGAGGGTATTGGTTGTTGGAGAATAAAAGGAGGGAGAGGGAGAAGAAGGAAGGGACAGGGGACGGAGGAGAGGGAATATGGGAAGGGTATTTGATGGGGGAATAAATACATAGAAGGGAGGATATAGGTTGAAGGATGCAATGAGGGAGATGGAAGGCGAGCGTAGGCATCAAAAGATCTAGCTAGGGAGGGCGGGAGAGAAGGATAAAAGGCAAGAAAATGGTGGGAAAATTAGTGGATGGAAAGAAAGGGATGGAGAGGAGGGTAAAGGAGTGAAAGAGGAGAGTGATGAAGGGTTAAGAAAGGGGGAGATATATTAGATGGATAAAGGGAAGGAAAGAGGGAGAATTGAAAAGTAGTAAAGAAGGAAGAAGGGAAAAAGCGGATAGACAGTGAAACGAAGAACAAACCAGCACAAAAAAGAAGCGAAGGCACCTGATGAAAATAGGAGAAGGAAGATAGGAAAAGATGCGAGGGAGAGAGGAGGGCAGAAGAAAACAGCAACGGACAGGGAGGAAGAGGGACAGGGTTAAGGACATTGAAGGAAAAGGAAGAGGGAGAGAAGTGGAGAAAATAGGAAGGAAACGAAAATGGTCTGGGGAAGCGAAGAGATCGGAAGGAGGAGAGAAATGGTAGGAAGTTTTATTGATAAGGGAAAGAGGTGATGAGAACGAGGAGAGTAGAAGAGGGGAAATGGGAAGGGGAGCAGATTTTAAAGGAGGAGGGCAGAAAGTGGTTGATACGGGGGGGATAGGAGAAGGAGAAGAATGTAATGGAAACGTATAGGGTGAAAAGGGAGAAAGGTAAGGAAAGAGAGGTAGCAAGTGATGAATGCATAAGGAGATAACTGAAAGTGAAGGTTGAGGAAGAGAGATGGGACAGAATAGGGGTGAATAAGGTAGGGAAGAATTTGGAAGGAGATGTGAGGATTAAAGGGGAGTTTTGGCATAGTAGGTGGGGAAGGAAGGAGAGGGGATTGCGAGAGTGTGAGAGAAGAGAGGAAGAGAGTGGATGTGGAGGAAGAGGAGTAGAAGATGAAGAGGAAAGAAGAGTGAGATGAGAGTGTGAGAGAGTGAGTTGAGCGAGAAAGGAAGAGATGAGGAGAAGTGGAGAGAGGGAAGAGTTGAATTGCGCCCCCCCTGACCAGAGACCCACGAGCCCGTGAGTGAGAAGATAGGGAGAGTGTGAAGTGGAGATGGAAAAGAGGAGAAGTGAAGGTGAGAGAGGAAGGGGATGTGAATGTAGTACGAAGAGGAAAGAGAGATGAGTGCAGTAGAGAGGGCAGAGAGAGGGTGAGAGAGAGATGGAACGAGAGTGGAAGTGAAGAGCGGACGAGTAGTGTGGGTGTTGAGTAGCGAGGAAGAGAGTGATCGAGGAATATTTAGAGGAGGAAAGCGTGAGTGGTGAAGCGATGTGTAGAAAGGAGAAGCAGTATGAGAAGTCGAGTAAGTGAGTGAGGTAGGATAGTGGGGTGAAGAGGAAGGGTGAAGATGAAAGAGATGAGGTAGCGGACAGTGATGAGGGGGCACAGGCGAGGGAGTGAGAGGAGGGAGCGAGTTGGAGGGAAAGTTTGTTGCGTAATCGTGAATACCAAAGATGCGTCAGGCCTTGCGTATGAGGCATTTGACCGTCATGCTAACTCCGACCCGATCTTTTTTTTTCAAGGGCTCGGAAGTGGTTTATGTCTATGTTCCAGATTACTAATATTTAGTGAACCATAATTTTGCCGTCTTTAACTCAACATAATTGCCAGTCTGAGGCAAGACATATAAGCAACAAGATGGAAATGGATGATTTTCAGAACTGGAGGGAAGGATAGACGTCAGATGGCTTTCGTTAAGCGTGTGATGTAAAAGTATTTATAGAAGGACCGTTATAGGATGGTGGAGATGTGGTACGGAAAGAAGGAAGTGTTGGAGAGCTAGAAGAAGAGGCAGAATGGCCGTGGGTCTTGCGGGAGGGGCTCGAGTTTAAATTTATGTTCTTGCAGTTGCTACTAACAGTCAGTACATTACAAACAATTATCATTTGACACCGATTTGTCAGTGTTTGTATTGAGTATGACTCATCACGCTTGTGGAGTCGTTTTAGATTAAAGGTGACATAAGGATTTAATTGTTGGAGGGAAAAGTTCAAAAAATAGTTTTTTTTAGTAAGAGGACTTTATGTTGTCACATCCTGAGGATGTATTCTGTGTAGACAGAAACTTTTAGTTTATTCTAATTGAAAATGTTAATGTGACGATTAAGGTTGGACTCTAATTGGTTGTACAGATATTGGGATCGATGCTCGAGGGAGCATAAAGCGGAGAACGGAGAATGAGTCTGCAATGAGTTGATGTTCATGTGCAAAGGAGCAATGGCGAATCAATCAATCAAACTAACACCATCAAAGTGAATCGCATCCATGCAATTACAATAAACATCGAGATCGGAAACAGTAATAAAAATTGCCATATCATTACTCAATACAATGAAAGGCATGGCAAATTCTCAAGTAAGGTCAATAGCATAGCAATCATAGTGAGTGCATCAAGATATCCATCATCATCATTTCAATTCATGACAAGATTATATTATTCACTGTACCATTATATATATCATAGAGTGCCTCTGGATAGGATAGATCACTCGTATCATCAGATCGTGATACAAAAGCTGAGGCGGTCGATCATTATTATCATCAGTCATCATCATCAGCAGTCATCATCATCATGGTCCATCATCATTTATCAAATGATGTCATTTGCCATTCATCCATCACCACCGCATTCATATCATTTATTTATATATGTATTTTATGTTATTATTATTTATTTATTTTTACTTTTTTATTTTTATCAATTATTTTTTTAAAGGGAATAAAATCAATGTATATCTTATCAATAGCAGTATGAAAGTGAATCATGTGGTATTTATTGTCGACAATATAACAAAGTGAAGGAATTGGAGAAAGGAGCAAAGAATAGGTGAGAAGATGGGATAGGATTAGAAAGTAGAAGGAAATGGTGAGAGAGAGAGGAATGATGAGAGGTTATAGGGATATAACAGGATAGATAAAACGTGTGGAAATGAGGAATAGAAATAAAAATAATTGAAATAGATGTAACTGGAAATTGGTAGGAACTGAATGAAAATAGAGAAGAAAAAGAGAAGGAATATAAGATAGTATAAAGAATGAAATCAGGAAAACAATATAAAAGGAAAGGGGAATATAAGCAGTAATCATGAAAATTTTCAGGCAGGGTGTTCCATGCCCCTTTTAAGAAAAAAAAACAAAAACACTGGCCTGTGCATTACCATAATTTACTTACATATTCTCTGAACATAGAGTAAGCAGTTGTGTAATATAGCTTGAGTAATAGTAAGTAATTCAGCGTGTCGTTAGTTGATAACCTCCTTGTCTTTAGTATTTTCCAGATTATACTGGATAACATAGTTTTTGTTTGAGTCAGTTGGAGGCAGTAATGGTGACTTTGATGATTATTGTTATTCATAATGAATTAGACCAATTTTTGATGTGATAGAATCTGATATAAGACGGTTTATGATTCTTTGTTTCTTATTTGTATTTGAGAGATTATGAACTGAATGGGGTCTTTTTATCTAGATTCTGTCGTTGTTCACTAAAACATTCCAAAGCTTACATTACTCGCTTGAGGTTTTGAGTCCCAGGGATGATGTAAAGGTAAAATGTCTACATACTTGTCGAGAACCTGTTATGCATCTTTGGGCATGGAGAGAATGGCAAGGTGGCCTACCATTTTATCAACCCGTTAAGTTAGTTATCGTTATTATCATGATTTTTGCTGATACAGTAATATTCCAGACAGGTTTTGTATTTTTTTTTTTTTTTTTTTTTTTTTTTTTTTTTTATGTTTATGTTTACTTTAGATTTCTTGTGATATTTAGAGCAGTGCTGTCATTTATGGTTTCATGAAGTGCCTGTTTATTGCACTGCTGTTGCATGTTCTTCTTTATTGTATTTATTTGTGTTTGATAGAGACCATAGCCTGATGGTTTTAGAAACATTTTCAGTTGAAGCACTTTCTGTTTCATATTCACATAAACTGATTTCTATGTTTTCTCTTCCTTGCAAAAGTCATTTTCATCTTTGTATAGTAATTGTTGCACTAGTCATTGCATCTTATTTATATGATACAGCATGTTTTAATAAAAGTTTGCTTGAAGGATGGTTGTATTTTAGATGTTAAATTTTTGTGTGCATTTTTTTTTTCTTTCTCTTTTATACTGTTTACATATAGAGCATATTCTCATAGTGTGTTCCCCCAAAGGATTTGGCCAAGTGCCCCCTGGTGTGGTACTCCGACAGCCATGGCGCAACAATGTGATGTCTGCGAGGCTTTCTTCAGAGCTCGCGGCAACATGCTCTAGTGCTTATGGTTCTCTTGCTGGCGGCTGGGTGACTCGAGGACCCGGCCAGCACCATGGACACTGCCAGATCTCCAGACCAGCAGTTTTTATCCCCGCCCTTCATGAGGTTCTAAACGACTGTTCAAAAAGTGGCCACTTATCCGTATAACTTTTTTTTGTTTCTTTTTGTCTTTTTTTCAACACCCAAAAAAACACTAACACGCGGGCATATCGAA